TAATTAAATATTGAACTTCACCAAAAGATCTCCCTGAATAAGAGACTCACATAAATTATAAAACCACCAAAAAGAGCCTCGCTCAATAAGAGCCAACTTTTGTAGAAGAATCTATACAAAGCTCAAGCATATTTGTGCTATCAAATTTTAAGAAAAGACTACTGAGAGCTATAGCTAACTAAAACAATTACAACACTTAGTTTTTCCAGCAGTACGTAGCCACATGGAGAAAGGAAAAGAGAAAAAAAAACTCGAATTTAAGCGAACGGAACTTGAAAGAAATTACTATTAATATCCGGGCCTTTTAAAAGTAGTATTCCTTCATTTCAATTTGTTTGAATTTTTTTGTAATACATGGATCAACTTTATTAATTTTCAGTGTGAATTTGAACATAAGATTTTAAGTCTTTTAAAATAAAATTTACATATTTATAATATACATAAAAAACTAATGTACGTCACAATACTTAATAATTCAAAATATTTAAAATCTGTTCCCAAAAAACATGGTCAAAAAAATCTTGTTTGCTTTCCCAAATAATAAAAATGATCATTCTTTTTGAAACGGAATAAGTATTATTTAGTTTAAATTATAATAAAATTGCAATCTCATCTACGTCAATATTGCTCCTCTATCAAAAGCCAAAGAACTACTCGACTAAAAACATGCAAAAGCATCCTCTTACTCCAAAATCAAAAGATGATGACTCCTATATATGCTTAGTGTTTAACAGAGGATTTGGGATTATAATGCAATTAAATTCGATTGATGTAATTAACATGACATATTACCTTCAAGAAAATTGCATTCGAGGCTTGCATTCATAGAGTATATCTCCCTGTGAGTTGAAGACCAACCAATGCAAACAGGATTAATTGTCTTAAAATTATCTGAATAATACCGTTCTCCTTGTCCAAAATCTATGCGAGAATAAGTTGAATAAATATGGCAAACTTATTGCAAATGGGGGAGAAACAAAGAAAGGTAAATAAGAAACAAAGAAACTCTTGGATTGTTGTCAAAATATCAAAATACACACGACAAAGACGTTCACGTCCGCTACTAAATGAAACTATTGGATTGTTGTCTTATTTTTTTATTTTATTTTTTTTGTGGGTGACTGTGACTCATCCATTCTCCCTCAATATTGACTGTAACCATCCGGATGATTGCTCGGCGAAGGTTTCAACAATACTATCAATATCTGTGCTTTTAATTATCTAACTCATCAACACCTGGACTTGCACTCGGTGATTTTCATAAGATATTGGCGCCTAGAATAGATAGTTACGACTATTTATGAAGCGTTGCTTAGGGATGTTAGTAGGCGTTATGTTTTTTGTTTTTCCTTTTTTTAATTTTTAAAGTAGAATATCATGTTATTTTAAATGGCATTTTGGTAACTTAACTTTTAACTTTTGAGGTTCTCACTTTTATAATAATATAGATTATTTTATATAGCTATATTTTCAATTTGGCTAGAGTGTATTCGATGTATTTAAGCTACTGTATTCATGAATACAGTAGCAAATTTCGACGTAAAACAGGGGAGTACAGCTAGGCAATTAATGTATTCGACTGTATTCACAATATGTATTTGTGAATACAGTAATGTAAATAGCGTAAATCGTGGTCTATTCAGCTGTTTTTAAACAGAAAGTGAATCAATTAACACAAATAGACTCCTGATATAACTCAGCAAGCTCAATTATAAATCTGAATACATAAATACATCTGAATATATAAATTATATTAATTAAAAAAATATATGAATACATTCATGGAATATAGCGAGACAGTGAATACAATGAAATACATGGAATACAATAAAAAAAAAGATAATGAATACAATGAAATACATAGAATACAGCGAGATACATTGAAATATAATGAAAAGAGGTAACAGACTCTTCAAGTTACTCAGCCCCAAAACTCTGTCGTCTTTGTTTAAGAATAACCCTAATATCGTCGATAGCAGATTTTGAACCTCCATTGTCAGCCTCAATTTACCCTATGTCAGATTTCAACAAATGATAAGAAACATAAAACATTGATTTCTAAACAGACTTTTCAACCATTAAAAAGGAAAGAGAAGTTCAAAGACAGAGAAACTCAAAATATTAAATATTAAAAAAAATCAGAAAGGCAGAGATTTTGCGTCAGAAGCTTCCTGCTGCCCAGCCGACGGTGTAGAAGCTTCTAGACTATCGTTCGGGTCATCATCACCAGGCCTAATAGGCGGATCAGCATCAAAATCTGGTACAAATGGCGACTCTGGCACCGCAGTTGCATTTGTCGGTATGGTGATTTGTGCGTTGGTTGAGAGAGAGGGGGTGGGAGAAAAATCTGAAAGAATAAGAGAGAAAAATAATACAAAGCGTATTTTATGGCTTAAGGGTAGGAGGTGATCATAAATAGATATTTGACTATAAAAACAAAAGGTAGCTATGGAAGATATTCTTTTAAAAGAATATTTATTTAAATAAATAAGGTATCAACCTTTGCTATAGAAGATAAAAATTCCTTTAATAAATATTTATTGACTAGTATAAATACGAATTATAGTTCCGCCCCAGTGTTGGTATGGCTATGTAAGAATATATTTTTTTGGTGCAAAAAAAAAAAAAATCTTACATGGCTACGTAAGAATATGAGCACTACTAAGAATAAATTATAGTTACATTTTTTATGGAGAAGAAAACAAAGGAAAAAAAAAAAAGAAGGTGTATACCCGAGCGATGGACCATAATTCATCAGAAAATTAAAGATGGCAGAAGAGGAATGGTAAAGGCAGCGCCTACTATAGCATACCGTACAAGAAAAGTAGCAGCATTAATGTCACAGTGATAGAGAAGTCTTGCGATTTAATTCTGTGGCTGGCTTGCTACTTGCTCGAGTCCAAAACTAAAATGATGTCAAAATTGGCATAAAATATGTTTTTACAGTTAAAAAAAAGTTATATTTCTACATAAAATGCAATATAATACTGCGTTTTACTTTAACGGAAAATTAGCCGTTAAAATTAAACGCAGTATTATACTGCATTTTATGTAGAAAATTAATTTTTAATGTAAAACGTTGTATACTATAACGTTTTACTAACTTTGTCTGCATTTGTAGTTTTGCACCAGGCTATTTTCCTTTGAGTCCGAACCTAAATATTGTGTGTTTGGACTCAAAACACACAAATAAGTCTATTAAAAAAAACGACATTTATATATATAACGTGCAACAACAACACGCTATATATTAACGGTAACGTCTGCCGTTAAGTATAGCGTCTTGTTGTTACACGCTATATGTGTCAGATGATTTGACTTCTCATATAGCGTGTTCAAATTAAACGCTATATATGGCGTTTTCAAATCATACGCTATATATAGCGTTTAATTTGAACTCGTCTTCTTCCTCGACAGCCCTCCCCCATTTTTTTTACAAACCATCCCTGCTCCTTCTGGTCCCCCACCCCCAACTGCTCGCCCGTCTAAAAAAAAAATTGTGGGCCCCTCCCGTCACACAAAAGGTCAGGAACGTAGGTCCTCCATCGTAGTAGAGCATTCTTGACTCGTGGTTTATCTCCTTCGTCTTCAAATTTTCACGCAATACACACACAACATCGAGGTATTTCGATTTATTTTATGTCCAAACTTCTATAATAATGTATATCACTGCCTATTGAATGTGTTTACATGTCCTTTTGTGTTGTATTTGCAAAACTAGTATGTTATATTTATTCGAACTTAGATATTAGTGTAAAATTTAGATTTAATTTTTTATGTTAATATAAGTATTTCTATGTCATTATGTGTTTTTTATTTGCGAATCTAGTATTGTTGTAGCTATTTTTTTTAATGTTATGTGATTAAAATATATATGTTGTTTATATTTAGTTTATTTATTAGCGTAGTAAACTGTATAGTATTTTAGCGTAGAATCCTTGTAATTTAAGTAATTTTAGAATGGTAGATGAAAATATATACTTTGTACAAATTTAGAATTTAAATTATAAAACAAACACACACAAAATAATCGAAAAAATAATTTTGACATACATAAATATTCACGATAGTTTGGTACTACTGGGTTTAAATATAGAGCCTGGAACCCAATTGTTACATATACTTTGTACAATTAAATCTCTAAAAAAAATAGAATTTAAATTATAAAATAAACACACACAAAATTATTACAAAATTAAAATTGATACACATAAATATTCATGAAAATTTGGTGCTACTGGGCCTTAAATATCGAGCCTGGAACTCAATTGTTACATATACTTTATACAATTAAATCTCTAAAAAAATTAGAATTTAAATTATAAATAAACACACACAAAATTACTAAAAATTTGAAATTGACACACATAAATATTCATGAAAATTTGGTGCTACTGGGTCCTAAATATTAAGCCAGAACCCAATTGTTACATATACTTTGTACAATTAAATCTCTAAAAAAATTAGAATTTAAATTATAAAACAAACACACACAAAATTATTAAAAAATTGAAATTGACACACATAAATATTCATGAACATTTGGTGCTACTGGGCCTAAAATATCAAGTCTGGACCCAAATTATTACATATACTTTGTACAATTTAATAATTAACATACAATTAATGTTGTTTAATTTACAGTTGACGACATGGACGCGTCTATACATCTCGGCCCTTACTCTCGTGAGCTATTAGTGTTTCAGGGCGATCATAGGTCCGCCCATATATGGGATGGAGAGTTACTTTCCCAGACTCTCCGCGCTAGGAGAGTGGACGACCTGTGGGATGTTCTTCATGACAGAGTTATCCACGAGCGTGTAGTCCATCGTCTCTAGGCCACGGGATTCTATACGATTTTTGAGATCGGCCGGATACAGGTTGACTGGGCGTTGATTGAGCGGTGGCGACCGAAGACGCATACTTTTCATTTTCCCATTGGCGAGGCTACCGTCACGCTATAGGACGTTGAGGTTTTATATGGCCTGTCCGCTGATGGCATGGCCGTTTCACTGCCTATTGCTATGAGATATGTGTCGCGTGATCATTATTTGGACATGTTGCATCAGCTCACTGGTTTCAGGCCTCAGGACGAGGCTGCATCGTCTGGTGCTAGTCGGTTGGCTTTGACCCCTATTAGACAGCACCTTGAGCTACTCCACCCCGATATCACTGACGATATAGATGAGGAGCATATCACCCATTATACGAGGTTGTTGTTGCTTCTTCTATTTGGAGGGGTCTTGTTCCCTAATACTTTGGGAAACCTCGTAAGCCTTAGATTTTTGCATCATCTTCAGCTGCTGGATGAGTTACCCTATTATAGTTGGGGTGCTGCTATTCTCGGCTATATGTATAGGCAGATGTGTCGGGCGAGCATGGCCACTCAAAGATATGTTTGTGGTTTTATGCCGATTCTACAGGTGACAACATATTCCAGTAAAGTGTTCATCATTTCCAACTCTACCTAGTTAGACTTTATCTTAACCATT